GGCATATGTGACAAGTATCTGTCCTCATGGTTTGTCCTTTGCTTATCGTGTACGGTGGTAAGTATTCCAGCTATATTCAATTTACAAATTTGACAAAGATGTGAATTGTGCCTGAAACTGATGCTTGAATTGAAGAATAACACCAACCTATGTCCGCCAAAATATTCTGTGTCACGATATGAAGGCACACATTTGTTATATAAAAATTTGTCTCGCTAAATTAAGAACAACTATTGATAGGAAACATACCTCGTGAGTTAACTCAATTCCTTTGGGTCCCTGGATATGACAACAAAATTGCGTATAAACACGTGATTATTAATCATAGATACAGAATATCTAAATACTTACTTCAGATGTCGTACCCCTCGAGAACACTATTGTTGCCGTGTCTTTGATTGCTATCGTGATCATCATTTAAATAAGCAATCGAGATCACACGAAAAATTTACTCTAAACTTTGCAAACAATAGTCACAAACTATATACCAGCAAAATTGTATTCTACCCTTTCCTTCTTCCCGATCTCTTCAATCTCTTCAAAAGAACATAAATTCAATTTCAAAGCGTTCGCTCGTTCTCTCTGTTCGTCTGTGATGACTGTCTTGTTATCACCAACCAGAATGACGTGTCTTAAACTGTTGGGTGACGACGAAGCCGAAAATATGATTGGTAGCGTTTCTTCGGACACTACAATCACTCGAACATCGGTGAGCTGTAATTGATTGATGACATCGGTGAGACGTGGTGAACTGCTCGGCATGGCCACGGTGACCAGACTGTAATGACTAGATGCTACATATTAATTGAATATGATTACTATTTATACACGATGCGCATATTTGATTCGTGAAGTAATTTTAGCTCACCCAAATCGGCGATCACCCATTCTACATGAAACATTGCATGTTTATAAGTTAATTACATGTCATTATTTAAAAATCGATGATTCTCTCATAACAAATAAATAGCACTAATCCAATACCTGGTCTACTGTTCATAAAAATTCCAAGCAAGTCTTTTGGCTCCAACCCAGTATGCTTGATCAATCCTGATCCAAAGTTCGCAACCCTCTCGGCCACTTGTTCTTTTTTCACATGTC